GTTGAAATAGTTAGATCATCGGCATGTTTAAGTTCATTTCATCAGAGTGAGGCAAATCGTGCAAAAATGAAGAAAACAGAAAAGGAGAAAGGACAGCACCTTGAGGGACACCAGCCTCAGTAAGCAAAGAAGTGGACGACTTTCCCTGATATACAGTGTACTGCTTTCTTCCTGAGAAATAAGAATGCAGCCATCTGACAACCCAGCAGTCAGTTTGAGTTTCGGCCAGCTTGATTAACAAAATGTCCCTAGGTACTGAGTCGAAAGCAAAAGTGTAATCTAGGAAGGTGCAGCGAACAAATTTAGCCCCCTTGTCTAAGCTGGAGACAATGTTGTGGTACAAGACTGCAACTGCATCTAAAGTACTGCTGTGTTTATAAGCGAAATGTTTAGGATTGTTTAGGGTTTTAACTGAAGGTTGAAGATTAAGTAAGAGTAACTTTTCGATAGCATTTAGAAAAGGAGACGTAATAGCAATAGGTCTAAATTTAAAACATGTTCCAGTAGACGACTTAGGGATAGGTACAATTTTTATGTCCTTCCAAACGGCTGACACGACATTTCTGGAGAAGGATCCGTTAAATATGTCCATAAGAGGATAACACAAGATGTCTGCACATTTTTTAAGAATAACACTAGGCAAAGCGTCTGGGCCCAGGCTACAAGAAGGGTTCAGAGACTGGAGACATTTTTGAACATCATTTGTATTGAAACCAGTGAGGCAGGTTTCACATGTAACACTGGAAAGTTTGGCATTTGTGGGCGAATATATGAAAAACTTGTTTGGTGTGCAAACATCAAAGGGATAAGGAATACTATTCATCTGCTTACCACCAGTAATTTCTTTAAAAGGTTTCCACATATTAGACGCATTTTTACACGATATAAGCTTCTGGTTGTAAATTGAATTCAACCTATGCATTTACGGTTTTATTAGGATGTTAATTATTTTCAAATCAGTATCATCCTTCATTTTACATAGCTTTTCTTTTTGTCTGCGGAGCATTTCAGGTTGGGTGGGAGGAGAAACGGTCAAATCTGATGAATAGCTTTTCTCTGGGACAACAGGTGTCAAGACAAAATTTGAGATAACTTGTAATATTAGAGATTGTGTCATCAAGGGAACCTTCATTAAACAGGTCTTACCTTGTGTCTTTGAGCATGCCCCTAGGATTCTGAACATTCTCTTCAGAGTAAAATACATGTACAGTTTTCTTGGAGAGGTGTGAAAAAGTTCTCTTGTGTAATTTTCCATAAATTTTAGGTAAAACCCGTACAGCAGATACTCCTGTCACTGGCTGTTTCAAAACCTAGTAACTACAAATATAAAAAATCGGGGTTAATGAAAATCGGGACCTGAGAAATATTAGGATCATCAGCTTACCTTCCCTGATACTTGACTCAGATCAAATGGGACAGGCTCTTCAACTCACTTAGATGGAACTCATTTGGCCATTGAAGGTCATTCGCTGATTATTAGTTAGTGATGCTGGAGTTTAAATTGGCCCAAATAAAATTCCGCACTGGAAAATTCATACATTGAAAGATCAGCCAGACACTTGGACACCTACTTATTGAATTTTTCTTTAAAAGAAAGCGGGTACTTTGAGTCTCAAGGTTAGTACGGGTTTGTTGTAAATGCTTTCTGCTGAATCGGACAGCGGGAAAGGAGTTAGTAGTTCAAAAAGTCTTTCCCGTATTGAAGTGTTTCGCCTGCCACCTGTGTGTCATCTGTGCTTCTCATTTCTAGTTTGCTGTGTTGTGCTCGGTCCTTGAGTGTCTGTATTGTCAATTATAGAAAATAGGACGTGTTGAAACTTCCTTTAAGATGGTGTATAAAATAGTTTGAAATCTGCTTGTAATATTCCCCCTACTAAACACCAGAAAGGGAATCTACGTTAGATATAGAGGCTCGGTCTCACCGTCTTTAGCTTGGATATGTACCCACTGTTCTTGACTAAGACTGGAAGACCAACTAAAGCTGATGTAAAGGCGAAGAATCGGGAGACAAGCTGTTCGTAAGCCTAGTGGGACCAGCTAGTGACTATGAGTCGTATTTTGTGTTCAACTGGGTCCTAATTATTTGAGGATGGTTGTAATCCATGATTCGTTTGTAAAGGCGATTTTAGGTGCATTGAAACTTGATGCAAGTGATAAGTAATAATAATAATAATAATAATGATTTACTTTATTCCAAAAACAGTACTTGTGATACAGAATGGAATTTTCAGCATTAATCACAATATTGCATCTAATTTCCTCAAATTATAAATAAAAATTAATCACACAGAAAATTTTCCACATTTACAATAGAGGTAGTGTCAAAAACATGCAGCATATAAAATGGAAATAGCAATAATAATGATAACAGCTAGGGTAACAATAATAAGAATACAAGTGAAAATTGCCGTTGGCTTGTGTCACACAGTATTGTCAATGTGGTATAGATACCCTAACATGTTTAAAAATATTGAATATAATGTTCTCTTCACATGATATGGTGAGGGGAAATACAAAGATTGCAGCCGTCATAGAGATAAGTTGGTGTTTGCAATTATGAGAGTAAAACAGAGAAGTAACAGGACCATAAATATAATAGAAGTAATAAAAGTAAAACTTGAAGGTATATAAGGATGGATGGAGGAAATCGTTTATTTACTAGATGAAAAAAGGTTAGTTAATTCTTGCCTGACACTATTTTTATCTTATAAAATACGTGCCAAGTATGGTATCATAGAATTCTTATACTTAGACGTGCGAGCATACAGTTTTCTGAAGCTACTCCTTGTTCTACCTGAGGAGATGCAAGGTGAAAGCTGAGGGTAAAGCGGATGCTCCAAGTCAGACAAAATCCCTTTAGCAAATTTATTGCATGAAGTCAAGTGCCTATCGACAACGACGTTAACTATGTGGTCCACTGGGACACCACTCACCCTACTGACAGTCTTCAGTATTCTACGAATTGTGACATAGTCCTTTTTAAGCAAACCAGGAAAGAATAAGGGTGAACAATAAAGAAGAATAGGTAGGATGCAAGAGTTTATGAACTGTAAGAGGAAGGGTTGAGTTATACCCGAGTGTCTTAACTTCTTAATGTAAAATGTCAGGCGGAATATTTTACTGGAGATTGCTAAGACATGGGAAGACCAGGATAGGTCAGAAGAAAGAATTAATCGAAGATACTTAATTTCAGACTTGATTTCCATATCACTATCATCAGTTTTGCAAGGTCATAGGAACCAACGGCTTCATTTTATTGTCTTTCGCATCGGAAACTGAAATTAACAGTCTGACATTTGGAAGGATTTAGTTTAAGGCCGTTAGACGAAGACCATTTGCTAATTCCTGATAGAAAGCTGTTCATCTTAGCACAGTCAAGCTGGGAGTTAACAGACGTTGAAGCCGTTTAATCATCAGCGTACTTCACAAAGTTTATTTCATCAGAGTGAGGCAAGTCATGCAAGAAGAAAGAAAAAAGAAAAGGAGAAAGGACAGCACCTTGAGGGACACCAGCCTCAGTAAGCAAAGAAGTGGACGACTTTCCCTGATATACAGTGTACTGCTTTCTTCCTGAGAAATAAGAATGCAGCCATCTGACAACCCAGCAGTCAGTTTGAGTTTCGGCCAGCTTGATTAACAAAATGTCCCTAGGTACTGAGTCGAAAGCAAAAGTGTAATCTAGGAAAGTGCAGCGAACAAATTTAGCCCCCTTGTCTAAGCTGGAGACAATGTTGTGGTACAAGACTGCAACTGCATCTAAAGTACTGCTGTGTTTATAAGCGAAATGTTTAGGATTGTTTAGGGTTTTAACTGAAGGTTGAAGATTAAGTAAGAGTAACTTTTCGATAGCATTTAGAAAAGGAGACGTAATAGCAATAGGTCTAAATTTAAAACATGTTCCAGTAGACGACTTAGGGATAGGTACAATTTTTATGTCCTTCCAAACGGCTGACACGACATTTCTGGAGAAGGATCCGTTAAATATGTCCATAAGAGGATAACACAAGATGTCTGCACATTTTTTAAGAATAACACTAGGCAAACGTCTGGGCCCAGGCTACAAGAAGGGTTCAGAGACTGGATACATTTTTGAACATCATTTGTATTGAAACCAGTGAGGCAGGTTTCACATGTAACACTGGAAAGTTTGGCATTTGTGGGCGAATATATGAAAAACTTGTTTGGTGTGCAAACATCAAAGGGATAAGGAATACTATTCATCTGCTTACCACCAGTAATTTCTTTAAAAGGTTTCCACATATTAGACGCATTTTTACACGATATAAGCTTCTGGTTGTAAATTGAATTCAACCTATGCATTTACGGTTTTATTAGGATGTTAATTATTTTCAAATCAGTATCATCCTTCATTTTACATAGCTTTTCTTTTTGTCTGCGGAGCATTTCAGGTTGGGTGGGAGGAGAAACGGTCAAATCTGATGAATAGCTTTTCTCTGGGACAACAGGTGTCAAGACAAAATTTGAGATAACTTGTAATATTAGAGATTGTGTCATCAAGGGAACCTTCATTAAACAGGTCTTACCTTGTGTCTTTGAGCATGCCCCTAGGATTCTGAACATTCTCTTCAGAGTAAAATACATGTACAGTTTTCTTGGAGAGGTGTGAAAAAGTTCTCTTGTGTAATTTTCCATAAATTTTAGGTAAAACCCGTACAGCAGATACTCCTGTCACTGGCTGTTTCAAAACCTAGTAACTACAAATATAAAAAATCGGGGTTAATGAAAATCGGGACCTGAGAAATATTAGGATCATCAGCTTACCTTCCCTGATACTTGACTCAGATCAAATGGGACAGGCTCTTCAACTCACTTAGATGGAACTCATTTGGCCATTGAAGGTCATTCGCTGATTATTAGTTAGTGATGCTGGAGTTTAAATTGGCCCAAATAAAATTCCGCACTGGAAAATTCATACATTGAAAGATCAGCCAGACACTTGGACACCTACTTATTGAATTTTTCTTTAAAAGAAAGCGGGTACTTTGAGTCTCAAGGTTAGTACGGGTTTGTTGTAAATGCTTTCTGCTGAATCGGACAGCGGGAAAGGAGTTAGTAGTTCAAAAAGTCTTTCCCGTATTGAAGTGTTTCGCCTGCCACCTGTGTGTCATCTGTGCTTCTCATTTCTAGTTTGCTGTGTTGTGCTCGGTCCTTGAGTGTCTGTATTGTCAATTATAGAAAATAGGACGTGTTGAAACTTCCTTTAAGATGGTGTATAAAATAGTTTGAAATCTGCTTGTAATATTCCCCCTACTAAACACCAGAAAGGGAATCTACGTTAGATATAGAGGCTCGGTCTCACCGTCTTTAGCTTGGATATGTACCCACTGTTCTTGACTAAGACTGGAAGACCAACTAAAGCTGATGTAAAGGCGAAGAATCGGGAGACAAGCTGTTCGTAAGCCTAGTGGGACCAGCTAGTGACTATGAGTCGTATTTTGTGTTCAACTGGGTCCTAATTATTTGAGGATGGTTGTAATCCATGATTCGTTTGTAAAGGCGATTTTAGGTGCATTGAAACTTGATGCAAGTGATTAATAATAATAATAATAATAATGATTTACTTTATTCCAAAAACAGTACTTGTGATACAGAATGGAATTTTCAGCATTAATCACAATATTGCATCTAATTTCCTCAAATTATAAAAAAAATTAATCACACAGAAAATTTTCCACATTTACAATAGAGGTAGTGTCAAAAACATGCAGCATATAAAATGGAAATAGCAATAATAATGATAACAGCTAGGGTAACAATAATAAGAATACAAGTGAAAATTGCCGTTGGCTTGTGTCACACAGTATTGTCAATGTGGTATAGATACCCTAACATGTTTAAAAATATTGAATATAATGTTCTCTTCACATGATATGGTGAGGGGAAATACAAAGATTGCAGCCGTCATAGAGATAAGTTGGTGTTTGCAATTATGAGAGTAAAACAGAGAAGTAACAGGACCATAAATATAATAGAAGTAATAAAAGTAAAACTTGAAGGTATATAAGGATGGATGGAGGAAATCGTTTATTTACTAGATGAAAAAAGGTTAGTTAATTCTTGCCTGACACTATTTTTATCTTATAAAATACGTGCCAAGTATGGTATCATAGAATTCTTATACTTAGACGTGCGAGCATACAGTTTTCTGAAGTTACTCCTTGTTCTACCTGAGGAGATGCAAGGTGAAAGCTGAGGGTAAAGCGGATGCTCCAAGTCAGACAAAATCCCTTTAGCAAATTTATTGCATGAAGTCAAGTGCCTATCGACAACGACGTTAACTATGTGGTCCACTGGGACACCACTCACCCTACTGACAGTCTTCAGTATTCTACGAATTGTGACATAGTCCTTTTTAAGCAAACCAGGAAAGAATAAGGGTGAACAATAAAGAAGAATAGGTAGGATGCAAGAGTTTATGAACTGTAAGAGGAAGGGTTGAGTTATACCCGAGTGTCTTAACTTCTTAATGTAAAATGTCAGGCGGAATATTTTACTGGAGATTGCTAAGACATGGGAAGACCAGGATAGGTCAGAAGAAAGAATTAATCGAAGATACTTAATTTCAGACTTGATTTCCATATCACTATCATCAGTTTTGCAAGGTCATAGGAACCAACGGCTTCATTTTATTGTCTTTCGCATCGGAAACTGAAATTAACAGTCTGACATTTGGAAGGATTTAGTTTAAGGCCGTTAGACGAAGACCATTTGCTAATTCCTGATAGAAAGCTGTTCATCTTAGCACAGTCAAGCTGGGAGTTAACAGACGTTGAAACTGTTTAATCATCAGCGTACTTCACAAAGTTTATTTCATCAGAGTGAGGCAAGTCATGCAAGAAGAAAGAAAAAAGAAAAGGAGAAAGGACAGCACCTTGAGGGACACTAGCTTCAGTAGGCAATGAAGTGGAAGACTTCCCTTTATATAGGGTGTACTGCTCTCTTTCTGAGAAATAGGAATGAAACCAGTTAACAGCCCAGCATTCTGTTTGACTAGCAGCAATTTTATTTATTAAGGTGTCCTTGGGGACCGAGTCGAAAGCTGATGTATAGTTTAGGAAGGCGCAACGAACAAATTTAGCCCCCTTGTTTAGACTGGAAGCAATGTTATGATATAAGACGGCAGCTGCATCTAAAGTTCTTCAACTGTGCTTATAGGCGAATTGTTTAGGGTCATTAAAGGATTTAAGCGAAGGTACAAGTCTAAGTAAAAGTAATTTCTCCATAGTTTTCAAAAAGGGAGAGGTAATAGCAATGGGTCTAAATTTGACACATGCTCCAGTGGATGATTTAGGTATGGGTACAACTTTAATGTCCTTCCAAACGTTATGGGTGTGACTACCAGAGGCTAAAAAGGAGAATCAAAGTAAGTCCCAAGTACAGCGGTCGGACCCATATGTGTTAGTGAAATGCAAGAAGACGGACATACTAATACGGAGAATGTGTAAGGGCATTTCAACTTGTTGAAATGGTCTAGACAAAACAGGCGTTGAGTATTAATTTTTCTCCCAATAATAGTCACAATAATCAAGTGCCCATTTTCTTCCTTAATTTGTGAATAGTAATTGTCACGGTCAACTTATTTGTCTTTCAGGGCTATCGATGCTCTCAACCAGTTAAGGTGTTGTGGTTTGACTTCGCCTTGCTCTGCGAAATTCTACGAGACCATTGATTATATCACTGCCACTACTACAGGCAACTTTGGGTGGGATTCATTCTTGAGGACTTTTTCATAATTTATGCAAGTTTCTGCTGTCAGCTAATCACCGACTTATTAATGAATTAGTTCGTCTACAGCAAATCAAACATTTTTTGCTGTATGGGCTTGCTCTATAGCCTTCAGTGTACAGTTGAAGCTAGTACTCATGGCAACGACCTCACTGCTTACACAGTAGATACAAATACTTGAATTCTTTAGCGTTCTTGTTGCGATATATAACTTCAAGCTACAGCCTTGAATTTTCAGCAGCAGTTTTTTTTTATCTTGAGGTGAGGTTTCTAGCCTCACGTTCAACCTTCCTTCTTTACCGGCCTTACTTTGGGCTTGACTAGGTCAACGATACATATTTGAATTCTTAGTGTACGCAATATATGGTTTCTAATAAACTTTTCCCATCTTTTGTACGTTCCTACGTATGCGTTTTTCTTTCGTTGGATATATTTTAGATAGGATTTATCCGCCTTGTTTGTTATAAAATAAATAAGTGCATTAATCCTGGCTATAAAGTATTCTTAATTATCCAGAAATTATTGGTTCGATTCACTCAGAAACTGTAGCTATTATTTCAAAAAGGTCCTCGTTTCAATTCTAATCATATCCGAAAGTAAAGTAATAATAGCTGACTACTGAACCCTTTGGAAGTCCAATTCATGGGTCTTTCGAGCTTACTACATTAACTAGATTAGTAGAAGGAAAAGTTGCACTTCGATGCTGTCTTAGAGACGGGATTTATTCTTTACTTTGCATTGTAGGGTTTATGCAGAGGATACTTGCTATCTGATAAGATAATCGGTATAGTGTGTTAAAATTTGAAGTCTACAAGCGTTTCATATTTATTATTATTATTGTTCCCTTGGGTTCCTAGTGGAACATAGGGCTTCAACTGCACGTCTCCACTTGCTTCTGTCTTCCTTCTGCTGTACTTGTCACCTGCATCCATGTTAGTCCATACTGTTTCAACTCCTCTTCACACTATCTCCTCCTTGTCACCCTTGCACTGACGTCCCACTCGCCGCTTCCCTTTCGGCCTGGTTCCACTCGAGCAATGGCCTGACGCGCGTGCGATGTCACCCAGCGGCCTCCTCAGCGAGCGAGTGTCCAATCCATCTCCACTTTCTCTTGCATATATGTTGGGTGGGCGATTGGTTCTTGTTTTGCTTGTTACCATAGTTTCTTGTTGGTAATTATTTCCGGCCATCTGATCTTCAATATAGAGCGAAGACAGTTGTTGATAAAGGTCTGCAACAGGCTGTTGGAAACATTCTTTGTATCCCGCCAAGTTTCATATTTAATAGCTGATTATCGTTGCCATCTCAGTCGATTGACGAGGTAGAGTGTGTGGCAGGTTTTACATCCCTCAAAATGACTAGAATGTTTTATTTACTTGTCACTAATGTTCAAAATGAATTTGTTTTTTGAGTACACTGCTACAATAATTAGGATTGATGTTTTGCAGGGTATAAAGTTTTACTGCACGTTTTTTTTATCACAGCTAACACGTTTACTGCTTGTTGAATAATGAACTTATCTATTTTAGCTATTTCATAAAAATGCAACCAGTGGATGAAGGCTTAGACTATGCCTCACAAGGAATGATGGATGAGGTAGTTTCTCGTTTATATGTTACATTCTTATAGGACATTACTTGCGGAGTATCTAGTGAGCGGGCTCCAGAACCTCATGCCGATTTCAGACGAGGTAATTGTATTCTTCAGTAACAAAGTGGCTTTATTAGATTTCGGTTACGATCCGTTTGATGACGACGATTTAGACTGATGTGTTATGTTGTCATAAATATATATGTTTCACATTTCAGACAGTTATTTTTCATTTAGCCTAATAAAAAGATGTGTTTGTATGCTTGATATTTTTCATTGTTTCTATGTAATACAGAGATTTGTCTGAACTCCTACTTTCTACTGCTTGTTGCCTGGTATGTTACTGTGTAGTCAAGTTGGTGGACGATGTAGTCTTAAGATGCTAAAGTTTGAAAGGTTTGCGATGTAACTGTTTGGATTTCAAAACCACTGTTTAGATAAGTTGGCTTTAGGGAGTGGTAGTGGTAGAGCACGTTGACCGCTTCACTTATTTAGGAAGTACCATCAGACCCAACGGGTTGATCTCTGACGAAATCTCAGCACGGATACAGAGGGCTAGTTTCGCATATGCCAGTTTACGCCGTCTCTGACCTAGACGTGATATCCGACTATCGACCAAAGGGCGGGTGTACTGCTCATCAGTCCGCTCCGTCCTCCTATATGGCTGTGGCACCTGGCCATTGAGAGTGGAAGACATGAAAAGCCCAGTTAGCTGTCTTCGATCATGGGTGCCTGCTTTCTATCTCCCGTGTGAAATGGTATAATAAGGTGAGCAATATTGAGTTTAGGCGTCGAGTGCTAGGTAAAGAGGCGAAATCAATCGACGAGGCTGTGAAATTATATCGACTGAGATGGTTAGGATATGTGTTACGTATGCCTAGTCATCGCCTTCCTGGACGGGCAATGTTAGTTGACATAGGGTCAGGCTGAAAAGAACTAGTGGTGGTCAAACCAAAACATGACACCAGTCAATGAAATCTACGACAGTTAGTTTAAGCCACCTAGGTAGGTGTAGACGTCCTGGCTGGGGTCCGCGGTACGGTAAAAACCAATGGCGGTTGGAGACAATTAGTGACATGGCTCAAAATCGTTCTCAGTGGCGCAGATGCATCCACTCCTTGTGACTTATAATACCCAATCAAACTATATTGTTCTTTGTTACTACTATTCCTTTGTCTCGCACCTCTGTTTACTGTCTTTATTGTGCATTTCGTCTACTTTCTTCTCTTGCTTTGTGTGCTACATGGAGTGTGGCGACTTGAACCACCGGTGCAAAGTTTTATGTCGAAACCAGACAGACAGGCAGAGTTGGCTTGCACTCACTTTGGTTTGAGCAACTAGATAACCCTTATACTGCTGTTGGTACAGGCCTGGTTTGTTATTCGGTATGAAGAACTCAACATCCTGTGGGAGTAATATTTATGTTCTAAGAAATGTTACTTTTGTTTATAAAACCATGGGTGGATCGTGCAAACTGAGTACCTTTGGTTTTTACTAGGTGAACTGAAAGTTGGGTAGAAGTGATGGTTCTGCTCACCGATTGGAAAAGGCGTACGCTCAAAAAATTGTGAACTAAAAGATCTACCATTCCTAAAGAATGGGCTTCTATGGCCTGAATGACGGTGGATTAATCATATCCTCACTCTCTGACAGATTCTGGAACATAGGCTCACTTAATGGCTCCCAAAACTCGTCATATTTCTTGACTTGAAGACAGCATTCAACTCCGTCGGCTCTATTCAAAGCATTGTACTCGAACTCGTGCAGTCGTCTAAGAGTTTATCGGGGTTTGTTTAAAGTAATGAAAGCCGGGATGTCCATTAGAGGTGCTCGATGTCTTTATTTCTGTTACCAGTTAACAGTTTGGTCGACTTAAAATATGCAGGTGATATAGTCTTTCTAGGTGAAGGTACCGAGAACATAGTATTCTAAACACCTTGAGCAAAATCTTAGTATGTTTTGCGTGCGATTTGCACCTGTCAAATGTAAGATGATGCTACAGGACTGGTCTGAACTGACTCCTAGTTTAAAGATAGGGGGAGGGGGGAATAATTGAGTGTATTGACCACTTCATTTATCTGGAAAGTTGCATCAGCCCTAATGGACTAGTTGCTGACTAGATATCAGCGCAGACACAAAAGGCTGGTGTGACATTTAACATCTCACATTATCCCTGCTGCAGACGTGACATCCAACTGCTGACGAGAGGATGTATGTATTGTACAGCATCTCATTCTGTCTTTTACAGCTATGAGACGTGGGTGTTGAAAGTGAAAAACCTTAAGGAGACCAGCTGTCTTCGACTACGTGTTTGCATTCCATCTCTCGTGTTAAATGATATAGTACGGTGAGCAATATTAAAGTTGGGCATAGAGTCATTGGAATGCTAAGAGCCACCAATTCCCCATGTGTCCATGTTATTATTCTTTCTCCCGTACATTTCTGCTCATAATAGTGTGTATAATTGCGATGGTTTGGCACAGAAGTGCAGTAGTTCAAGTTACTACACTCCTTCCACGTAGCACACAAAGATGGAGAAAAAAGAAATTCAACAAGACTATAATGAGCAGAAATGTACGGAAGGAAGAACAGTACCATGGGAAAACATACAGACTGAATGAATGTGGGATATTTCAAAGAATGAATGCATGTTCGCCATTGAGAACGATTTCGAGCTATATCATCAATAGTCTCCAGCCATTGATTCCTAGAATCTCGAAGACCCCAAACAAGCAGCCTACACTTCCGTACATAGCCCGAACCAACAGTCAACGACTCTGAATTGGTACCAGGTTTTGCTTTGACTACCCCTAACTTTTTTCCAACCCGGTCCTGTCAGCTGACATTGCTTGTTGAGGAAGAAGGTGACGACTTGCCCTGAATAACATGTGTCCTAACCGTCTCAATCTATGTGATTTCATAGCCTTATCGGTTGATTTCCCCTCCTTACACAGCACTCAACGCCTGACCTCACTACTACTCTACGTATTATACTATTTAACACGGGAGGTGGGATGCGAGACTGCGTTGACTGAAAGTCGAACCCGGACAATGTGCGTCGTTTGATGAACATTCTATCATCTTTGAACCACTGTCGCCCAGATGAAATGTTAAAAATAAGCAGCTTATGTCATATAGAACTGCGAAAATGGTGAGTATTTAAGCGGATATATGAGAAATTCAGGCTTCATAATGTGAAATTAATGAAGTCAGTTTTCGTTTACAGTCATCAAACGTCCTTAAATAAATAGTATTCTTTACTGCAGCGTTTTCCTCCTACACATAATTGTTAAAGTTCAAGGAAAAGTCAAAGGTTATGCCTCTTTGATTGTCATTAAAGCACCACTCTAGCATGATGTGGGAGGGGGGGTGGACCATCACGTGAGCTATGTTTTGTTCGGAATCGGTAGTCGAGGAATTTCAGTTATTTGAACCTGTAAAAGGTAAAGTGGATGGGACCACCCGCTCTTACTCTCGAGCGCTGTTATGATATTTTCTAGATGCGGAAAATGTTATCCAAGATGTATATGAACTATCCCTATATGACGCTAATCAAGATCACACAAAGCAAAAGATAGATCTCTTTTCATAACTTCTCACCAAACTAGTGAAGTTATTCAGGGGTTTATATGTACAGTGTTAATTATCAACAAAGGTCTCAGGTTATTGTTACCTAGCAACGAAGATGAATCCGAGTGTATGACAGTTTAATATGTCAAATATAAATAATTTTGCATAATTGAGAAGGTTTACCGCTAATTAGTCACGTTGTGGTGGTGGTGGGTTATTTCTGTATGATTGGTAGGAAATTGCAAGTGGGACACAAAGAAAATCACATATGATTAAGGATACAATAGATCAAGAAAATGAAATTGATACTAAGACCAAGCTAGGGTTTTGGCTGCATGAGGAAAATGTAAGCGGAATCTTTTGGACTTGCTTGATATTATTTCATGCATAACTTTGAATGGAGTCTCTGCTGGTGGTGTTGCACGATCAGAAGTAATAATGTGCTCTAGAATTGTCCTGTTGACTGTTGTTCATCCTTCTAACGACGACCATTCTTTTAAGTGTTCGTGAACGCATGCAGACAGTGTTCGGCTAGTACAGTGTACCTACTTAACTCCACGGAAGCAGGATGAACTAGTAAATATATATTGAATTGGTCAACAGTGGGGTCCTGGCTCTAACATTTTGGTGAATAGGAACATACATAGATGAGGTGAGGCATAGATATGCAGCAAAGAACTTTGAACTAATCTCGATTTAGAACAAAAACGCTGAATAGCACCAGAGTAGATTTAGAAGCTTTGTGTATAACTATACAATCAAAGATCAAATAGAACTCACTTATACCGGCGTTAGTATTCACTAAAAAGAAATACACTCAAATAGATTTGATTAGTACTTTCTTTTTCTCTTCAACTTTAGAATTATTGATATTTTGGTTTTTAGATTTGTTAGCTTAGTGGCCACTGAATTCATTTTTCCTACCTAATTTTATGTTTACTGCTGAAGATAGCATTTGAACTAGTTTTTCGTACTAACTTCGTGTTTGTAAGCGAACATGTAGATTATCGTTCGTAAATTATACGATATTTAGTGTATTTAAAATAATTGTCTAAAGCAGTGAAAACTACATCCTTAATGAATTATGTTTTTATTGTATGAAGGATTTCATCATGAGCTGACATTGGTTAGAGAACCACTGGAAAACCTGGGAGTACTGGACAGCTGTTTCGTCCTAGTTTGGGACTCTTCATCAGTACGCACCCACCGCCAGGGTTCGAACCCAGGACCTTCTGGTTACAAGGTGAGCTCGTATATCATTGGGCCACTGGGAAAGCTTGCTTTACCTCGGTTTCGTGCTTGTTGGCACTCGTTATCAGCAAGGCGTATCTGCAGTCTTTGGGGGAAAGTTATATCCCTGCTGAGCTTCGAAATCATATCACCCAGTTCTGCGATTAGAGACGTTACCACTGAGTTATTGCGGTTAGCTACTAACCTCCTAGATGACTGTACTGGATATTTTGATCGGCCACCAGGTAGTAACTAGCGTCTTGAGTGCCTAGTACTTTGTTCGGTGCAGACTGGATTCTATTAGTCAAGTTTGTAGCAGCACTGAGTGACGCGGTTTTGAAGCTCAGAAGGAGGTGAGTTTCGTCAACATTACAGATACGCCTTGCTTTCTGACAGGTGCCAACAAGCACGAAATCTAGGTCAAGCAAGGCTTTCGAGCTGATTGCCTCTAACCATCTAATGACAACAATTCAGGAAGTTATTTCTCTTCCACGCCACCGTACCGTTACTGATGCAGTCGTGACGGAGTAGGCATTGAAAATTCATACAAACAACTGGGCATATTTTTTTATCAGAGAAACTTCATTTAAGTGTTGATTTGTAGGGATTTGATTGTTTACAGGATTTCATCATGAGCTGACATTAGTTAGAGAACCATTGGAAAACCTGCGAGTACTGGACAGCTGTTTCCGTCGTCCTAGTTTGGGACTCTTCATCAGTACGCATCCACACTGCGCGGTTCGAACCCAGGACCTTCTGGTTACAAGGCGAGCTCGTATATCATTGAGCCACTGGGACCCGATCCAATGGCAAACTGATGAATTCTAACTTCTGCCAATTCACGACATAGCGCGACCGCTAGCCAATGTCTTCGGCGAGTGTCCTGTCGTGAATTGGCAGGAGTTAGGATTCATGGGCCATTTGATCGGGTACCAGTGGCTTAATGGTATACGAGCTCGCTGGCCTTGTAACCAGAAGGTCCTGGGTTCGTATCCTACAGTGTGGATGCATACTGATGAGGAGTTGCAAACTAGGACGAAACAGTTGTCCAGTACTCCGAGTTGGTTTTCCAATGGTTCCTTAACTAATGTCAGCTCATGATGAAATCCTGTTAACTTCATTTATTTTACCCATGGTTTTCTTATGGTATAGAGAGAATGAAAACTGTGCCTGAAATTTCAAGCACGCCTTATGTAACATACATATTATGTCAGTTGTGGACAAGTTAATGTCTTGGTGATTTTGAAATAAATTGCCGTCTTATGCTTGTTTCTATCTGGATACCCATATCTGTACTGCTTAATCACTCATGTGTCACTTTTTATGCTTTTATTTTACTTAAACACATGATAAGAAGTTTCGTTTCCTATCCTGAAAATAAGGTATTGTATAGAGCAACTAAGTATATCATGTCACAGTGTAAAAATGACTGTTTTTAGTGCCAGTGAAGACTACGCTCATGTTTATCTGATCATTGATAGACTACAGTTGTTTGTATGGAATTGTATGTACAACTTTTGTATTTATACCCGTTTTTATTATAGATTGTATTAATCTCATAGATATGTGAATAGTTGTAACGATTTTAATTTTCCCGCCTCAATCTATATATATGTATATAGTGTGTGTTCACTGGGGCTACATGCCACGTGGATGCATAAATCGTCTTCATTCTTCACTTTTGGCTAAACATATTCGCCCTGAGGATGTTTGGCGCGTATTCACCAATCGGATTCAAGCAGATATTCAGGCTACGAAGAATAATTCATCTTTATCATCACTTGGTCTTCCTCCTACTAATTCAATAATCAGTTCTTTATCTGTGATGAATGGCTCACAACATCAAGTTGACAGGCAAGACTCTCTGAATTTGATGAACTCTGTCCCATTGGTTGTTAAAGACAACTTTTGTGTGAATTATCAAAAACTACCGCTTAAAACAACATGTGCATCGAAATCATTGGAAAACTTTTGTCCACCCTATGATGCTGCTGTAAGCGTATAGTTTTATAAACTTTGATTTCTACTTGTGTGTATTATTTGTTTTGTTGCAGTAGTGATTTGTAAAACCTTCGTTACTTGCTATTTGTTTTTAATTCAATACTGAATTTCTCGCTCATTGGTTGGACCGAAATTTTCGGTCATGGTTCACACTTCTGCTCCTGGTACGGACGCTTCGATGACGTCTGAGGATTAAGCAAGAGTGATTTGTTAAATGATAACTTGCAGTGGAATCGAGTATACACACGTCGTCCTATCTGTGTGGTGAGTGCTACTTATAATCAGAAATAGGTAGTATAGTATATCAGTAAACAAATTCAGAAAAGTGACAGTTTGTTTCCGGCACTAGAAAGAGCAATCGAAAAAGAGAGCTGTGAGAAAAACGTTACAAATACTGTTCAAAATCCAACAAGCTATCGAATGTGGTGATATTTGACCAATTTGAAAATGATGTGCAAATAGTGACCGAGTTTATGTACCTAAGTAACGACAGAAGGCAAGAGCCAGTCAACCGATCGTCTACTGAGAAAATCAACAGTATTTATAGATTTTTGTGTACATTTTTATCAATGGAGAAGCGACGTCTTCTGATTGGTTGTTTGTTTGCCGAAGGTTATTCTCTACTGCTTGTGACCGTTTCTCAGAAAGTTAAGCCATAAATCTGCCATGTATAAGCCATATCCTATTTGCACACGTTGAGTCTGCTGGGATCGGTTGGTGAGTTTCACAAGGTTAAACCTTGTCATCGTTTTTCTCTTGACTCTGATTTCGGATGTAACACTGACGTAAATTGTTGTTTACGATTTCGGCTTGAAGTCAGCTCTCACCACACCTACAATGCGTTTGTCGTAATAAACATGGGCTTTGAGCCTCATTGGTCTTTTATTCTTTACACTTGCATTTCCCTGTGAGCAGTTGTGTTGCCACTGAGATTCAAACCAAGTACCCATCGTTACAAACGCCAAAGTGTCATCAGCCGAACTGCTTGGGCTACGAGAGCCATCTCTTGTGCTGCTTCCATCAGTTATTATTTGTTCCTAATTCAATTTTGATTTTCCCGTCGATTTATTGAACAGGAATGTTCAGCTTCAATTGACATATCAGCTCCCAGTACGGACGCTTCAACGATGTCCGATGAATAAGTTGAAGTAATTTGATAAATGGTGATTAGGAATGGAGTCGATGATGCATATTTCGTCCTGTTTGAGGCTCGTTGGCTGAATGCACTTGGATTTCCCGATGAGTCCTGGATTCGAGTCTCAGTGGGAACGACATCACTCACTGAGAAATGCAAGTACATCCATGTGACGAGTCCTAAATAAGACGAAATTCATTGTCTTAATAGAAAAAAAATGCAAAGTACAAAGGTTAATAAATTCGGTAGTTGGTATATATTCCATAAGCCAAAAATGCTAGACAGCTTTCCTACGTAACAATTTCTTTTGTTTTCTTCGCCTTTTACCCAATGACTACTATTCATCACAGGTTGTATCGTGTCTTCTGAAATCAGGTGCTTTCATCATGGGAAAATCTAATATGGATGAATTCGCTATGGGTTGTGGATCTGTTGACAGTGCACTTATTGGTCCTGTTGTTAATCCATGGTCTGGTAGACTACTTCCTCATAAGAATACTGGTGATATAACTCAGCTTGTATCCGGTGGAAGTTCTGGAGGTAGTGCAGCTGCTGTTGCTGCTGGACTTTGTTTAGCTGCTATCGCTTCAGACACTGGTGGTTCGGCGCGATTGCCTGCTGCATATTGTGGTGTTGTAGGCCTCAAGCCAACCTATACATTGATTTCTCGTCATGGTCTTATCCCGTTAGTAAATAATCTAGATGTTCCTGCTATTATAGCTCCATCAGCTAGCGATGTTGCTAGTGTCTTAGCAACTTGGTTATCACCAGAGGATATTTCTGCAAGAACAGGTGATGCAACATGCACTCAATTACCTCAGTCTTTCTTAAAACGGATTTACAGTGAATTACAAGATGTTGCCAAAGGTGGTTGTGCGCAATATAATAGTGAAACACGTCCTCTTCGGATAGGCATTCCACTGGAGTATCATGTTCCTGGTCTCAATGAAGAGATATGTGTTATGTGGGACACTGTGGCTAGTTGGTTAGCTGACCAATTATCATGTTCTGTCCAGCTGGTCAGATTACCTCATACTCCTGTGGCTACAAGTGTTTATTCAGTATTGTGTGCAACTGAGGTGGCGTCAAACATGTCCAGGTAAATTCAAATTTTCTTTATTTCCAGAAACAGTATATTTATAATTTACTTAAGTTGATTCAGTAAATATGTATTATATGTACATAGCATACATAACTGGTAATATTAGAAAGAAGAGAACACGAAGTTTAGCAAAGATATCTTTGCGGTGATTTCATTTTCAAAAGCTTTACAATCGCATTTAAATACATAATTTTACATGGATACAACTCTTGCTTGATTCCACATAATTATGACGGGGCAACAAATAGGCAGGAAGAAATGGAGATGGATTGGCCATACTCTGAGGAAACCATCAAGTGACATCACTACACAGGCCCTCGAGTGGAACCCGAAAGGGAATTGGGGAGTTGGTTGTCAGTGCGAGGGTGACTTGGAGGTGGTCATGCGAAGAGGAGATGAAAGCATATGGGCAGACTTGGAGCCAGGTGAAAACTCTAGCAGAGAACCGAACGCAATGGAGACGTGCAGCTGAAGCCCTATGTTCCTCTAGGAATTAAAGGAAATAATAATAATAATATGACGGCGAATAAAAGGTGACACTTATTTTTGACTAGATCTGGTTTACGAGAGGCTTAGAAACAAAATTACACACAGGATTAGAACGGATAACAAGTGTATAAAAATGAGTATGGAAACAAAACAAAACAACCAAAAGCCTTTCGAGGCATATTGTGAGGGCTTCTGCAGTACAGAGAAGTCGGAAACATACTGCTTTTGGTAAGTTTCTGTTGACTTTGTAAATTACTTTGAAAGAGTTAGTTGAGATGTTGTGGAAGGTGTTGATCAGATGTTCAATAATGGCACTTCTGATTGAACCGGTGCCTCCTCTTTGCAGCCACGCTGGTTAATTTTCTCTAACAAGTTTTGAAAGGACGCGCACACAACAACCTATGTACCTTACTCCGCACGAGCAGGTGAGCTGTTATAAACTGGTATAAACCAAGTGGTCGGTTGATTATTTTGTGTATAGACTGCTTGTATAACTTGATCTCAATACTTAAATTTCTTTTCTACTGCTTTTGTGCTTTTATCTTTGTCATCGTAGATATGATGGACTGAAGTACGGGTTTTCTTCAACCAAAATGTATAATAATGATGTTGAAAATCGAACAGCGAGAAATACAACAACACAGTATTCTACTACTCGTTCAATTGGCTTTGGTAATGTTGTCCGTAGTAGAATATTTGCTGGTAACTTCTTTCTTCTACGGGATCAACAGTGTCGTCATCTAGAAGCTGCAAGACGTTTGTGGCGTTTAATTAAGGAGGACTTTATTAAGGTAGTGCGTCTTCTGTCTTTATATTGTTACTATATGATATTGTATTATTGTTTCCTTGGGTTCGGAATGAAATGTAGGTCCACAACAGAATGTCTCCAATTCATTCTGTCCTCTGCAGTCCTCTTCAACTGGTCCCACTATTACCCATACGCTTTCATCTTCTCACACAATCTCCCTTATGTCACCCTCATACTCACGCCCAACTCATCGTGTCCTATTCGGGTTCAACTCGAAGGGCTTGGCGATTGATGTCGTTTGACAGACTCCTCAGCGTGTGTCTGATCCATCTCTATCTTCTTTGCCATATCTAATGAGCAACAAGTTCTTGATTGGTTCATTACCACAATGTCTTGTTGTTATAATTCTTTCTGGCCGTCTGATCTTTTTAATATGCTGATAAAAGTCAGAAGCCTGTTTGAAACGCTTTCGATGACGCATCTGCCAAGTTTCTGACCCATACAAAAGAACTGAATGACTGACTTACCATTGATGTTGAAAATCCGGATTTTGTTCACTATGCTGAGTGCAGTGCAACAGATTTCCAAACTGATTTCAGAGTGATGAAGGTGTGTCTCGCCTTTCTGATTCTGGTCTGCTTTGACGTTCTCGTCCTTTTTGTCGCCTGTGGTTGAAATGGTACTTCTTGGATAAGTGTAGGAAGTGACTCCTTTCAAATTTCTTCTTTGATTAGTGGTTGGTGCATGTAGTCATTATTGTTAATTGGTTATCTTCATCACCCCGTCTTCTCCATGCACACTTAAAGTCCTGTCTGTGCTAATTGCTTCTTCTTCTTCTTCTAATTTATTGGTTTTCATCCGTAAGTCTTCGAGTTTGTGTGACTCCAGACATAAATCATCCACGTGCGAAATCCAGATCTTCCAGAGTCTTCTTATCGATTCGACGTATTCCTTTTTTCTCGCCCCCTATGCATGGTCTCCCGTATAATCCAATCCAACCCAATTGGGAATACCATCGGTGATAATAGGGAGCAGCCTTATCTTACTCCTGTGTTCACTTCAAAGGCTGGTGTACTACCTGATATCTTAGTATACATTTTCGGAATAAGATTTGAACCTGAGGTCAGCCTTCATCCTACTGATACCGTGTGATGGCTGATCATCACGACAAGTATTATCATTGTTATTGTTTCCTTTAGTTCCTAGAGGAACATAGGGTTTCAGCCGCATGTCTCCATTCCGCTCGGTTCTCCACCAACGTTTTCACCTGGCTACACGTCTGCCCACAGGCTTACATCTCCTCTTCACATGAACTCCTCCATGTCACCCTAGTATTGACAACCAACTCGCCACTTATCGTTCGGGTTGACCTGTCTTGAGATGTAACTTGATGGTTTGCTTTCTCAGAGTATGGCCATCCCACCTCCATTACTTCCCCCATATTTGTTGCACAATCGGTTCTTGCTGGGTTGGTTCGCTCCCAGAGATCCTTCCCTACTGCTGATCTTTTCTGGTTGGCCATCTGATCTTGAGTAGTATTAAGCGAAGACAGCTGTTGATGAAGACCTGTAGTTTGTTCGAAGTGCCCTTCGTGACACCGCGTGGCGCCAAGTCTCTGATCCGTATAGTAAGTAGCACTGACTTCACATTGGAGTTGGAAATCTGGATCTTTTTTTCATGCTGAAGAGTGCTGTTGATCTCCACACAGACTTCAGCGTGATGGAAGTTTGCCTTGGTTTCTTGATCCTCGCCTTGATGATATTCTCGTCAGTTCTGTCCGCCTGTAGTTGAAACGATGCTTTCCAGGTAGGTAGGTAGGTACGTAGCTGAAGGAGGTTGTTTCTTTCAGATTCCTCCCATTTATGCTGGCTGATTGTTGTCTGTTGTTGTTGCTGCTTCTGTTGCTGTTGGCGAGGAATCTTCATCGCCACTTCTGTTTCCCCTATGTCCACCTGAAGTCTTTTCTTTGATGCTTCTTCTGCCAACTTGTTGCTTTTCACTTGCATATGTTCCAGTTTGTGGGAAATCAGACATATATCATCGGCGGAGTCCAGATCCTGCAAGTTCTTTTTTGTGTGGATCCATTTTATGCCTGTTTCCTCTCTGCCCTCTGTCTGTCTGTCGCATTATCCAGTCTACCGCGATCAGGAAAATCTTTTGAGATAGTAGGCAGCCAGCCAGGCTTGTCTTTCTGCCGTTTTCACTTCGGAGGATTCCGTGAGTTTCCCGTTGTGGACTACTTGGCATAATATATATATATATATATATATATATATATATATATATATATATGGATAAATATTTCTTTTTAAAGTTGTAAATTTGAATTTCTGTTTTCTAGGCTTTTGAGTCAGTAGACTTCATCCTGACACCAGTTTCACCCAATCTACCAATAAGTATAGCTGAATTCACAAAATTGGATAATCGTACTCGCACAACACTTGATGATGTGTGTACAGTAGCTGTCAACTTAGCTGGACTACCAGCAGTTGCATTCCCTGTCGGTGTATCGCCTACTTTTGGTTTACCTATCAGCCTACAATTGATTGGACCATACTTTTCAGAACCTCAACTACTGTCACTTGTAACAAAGATTGAAAATTTGGCTAATTTCCAACCTTTGGTTGATCATCAGTCTATTATTGATTCCATTTAGGGGTGTTCCCTCTCAGTGTGTGTGTGTGTGTGTGTGTAGACAGAGGAGAATGAAGCTGTTCGCAATTTATATGTATCTGTTTATAGTTACTTATTTTGCTTGTACACAACAAACTCTGATCTTGTTTCTTTGTAATTAATTTTCCCTCAATCTAATAAAACTGATCGAGCATTATTCACCTGCTCTCTCTCTCCCTCTCTACATCTCTGTACATAACCTTAAAAATGCAGCAGTATCGCCTTCATCGTATTGTTTCACCCGTTTGCACTGCGCGCTATGCTGCTAACAATCAATAAATGCAAGCGCAGCATATATGACACTGTTTTGACTATGCTATTCGTTGTTTCTTTTATTTTTTTAAATGGATTCTGTAAGCAAGTGTCAAAATGGAATTTCTGTTCGATTTTGAACTTTGTTATGCAGTAAGGTCATGGAGTAAAGTTAGTTCCACTTTTGATGTGCTTTTTCATTAGAATGGAATCATCCCGACTAATTATAGTGTGTTTTGTGGCATGCATAACATAAAAATTTTAACAGCAAACAATGAGCGAAGTCCAATTATAGATAAGATTTTATTTTGATAAATCACACAGTTTTATACAGTAATATTAACTGATGATCACGTTTCGAGCACAAACTATTGCTGCTCATCGTCGTCATATCAAGGCACTACTCACACAACTTTCTAACTTCGTTTATATAATTCCATCATTATTTTTCATCGTTTGACTTGGTTGGTAGTTGTATTTTCCATATTTCGGGTATGAGTGATGAGTCATTCCTATTGCATGTGTTGGGTGTAGACTCTATGAACAAGGATTCAGTAAAAACAGAACACAAACAAACTCACTAGTAGAGAGAATAAATTTCACATCTGAATTCTCTCTGTCTGTCTGTTTTCGACATAGAACTTTGCACAAATGTGCGGAAGTTCAAGTCGCCACATTCCGTGTAGCACGCGAAGCAAGAGAAGAAAGTACAAGAAAAGCATAATAGAAACAGTGAGCAGAGGTGTGAGACAAAGGAGTAATAAAGAAGAACAAAACAGTTTCATTGGAGATCATAAGTCACAAGGAGTGGATGCATCTGCGCCACTGAGAACGATTTTGAGCCATGTCACCAATTGTTTCCAACCATAGATTTTTACCGTCCCGAGGACCCCAGCCTGGAAGTCTACACCTTCCTACGTGGCTTAGACCAACTGTTGTGGATTTCATTGACTGATGCCAAGTTTTTGTTTGACCGCCGCTAGCTTTTTTCCAGCCTGACCCTATATCCGCTAACATTGCTCGTCGAGGGAGGCGATGGCTTGGCATACGTAACACATGTCCTAACCATCTCAGTCTTTGTAGCTTCACGACTTCGTCGATTGATTTCCCCTGTTTACCTAGAACTCTACGCCTAACCTCCATGTTGCTCACCTTATTATGCCACTTTACACGGGAAATAGAACGCAGGCACCTATGATCAAAGACAGCTAGTCTTTTCATGTCTTCCACTCTCAGTGGCCAGGTCTCACAACCATAAAGGAGGACGGAGCGGACTGATGAGCAGTACACCCGCCCTTTGGTCGATAGTCGAACATCTCGTCTACGCCAGAGTCGGCGTAAACTAACAAATGCGAAACGAGCCCCTTGTATTCGTGCTGAGATTTCGTCAGAGATCAGCCCGTTGGGGCTGATGGTACTTCCCAAATAAGTGAAGCGGTCAACGTGCTCTACCACTTCACTTCCTATTTTTAAACTAGGCGTCGATGTAGTCCAGTCCTGTAACATCATCTTGCATTTGGCGGGAGCGAATCGCATGCCAAACATTCGTAGATTGCGGCTCAAGGTGTTTAGAAGACTCTGCATTTCGTCAGCGTCTTCGCCTAGAAGGACTATATCGTCTGCATATTCCAAGTCAACGAGATTATTCCCCGGTAGCAAGTCAATCCCTGAGTCGCTGAAGTCACCTAGGGTTAAGTCCATTAACACATCTATGATGAAGTTGAATAGAAAAGGAGATAATGGGCATCCTTGACGGACACCACTGGTCGTCATCAGTTCAGATGACAGCTCGCCGTAAGCCCTCACCTGGCTGTATGAGTACGAGTAGAGTGCCTTAATCAGTGCAATATATTTTCTTGGAATTCCCTTTACAGCCAAGCATCTCCAGAGAACTTCCGATCGACAGAGTCGAATGCTGCCTTTAGGTCAAGAAATATAATGACTGTTGGACGCCGGTAGGAATGCCTATGTTCTAGAATCTGTCGGAGGGTGAAGATATGATCAATACACCCTCTTCCTGGTCTAAAGCCTGCCTGGCTCTCTCGTGTTTGTGCTTCCCGAGCACCACTCAGTCTACGCATGATTATTGAGCCTAAGACTTTAGATACTATATTAGTCAAGCTAATCCCTCTGTGATTATCACAGGAAGACTTGTCTCCCTTCTTGTATATGGGGATAATCAGTGACTTACACCAACCCGATGGGACTTCTTCTGATTCCCAGACGCTGCCTAGTACCTCAGTTAATCCAGACAGTAAGCTGTCTCCACCGTACTTAAATACCTCTGGAGTCATTCCATCAGGTCCCGCTGCTTTGCCTAGTTTCAGATTGGTGACAGCTTTAGTAACCTCAGTTAGTGACGGAGGACCTGTGTCTATATCCCATTCAGGGAGGTGTTGGATGCTCGGAAGGTTGAGCGTGGCTGTGGGCAAATTAAACTGCTCCTCATAATGCTCTTTCCAACGATCCAGTCGTCTATCCTGGGAGCTAATTATAGTGCCATTTTTTTCCGAGATTGTCTCACTAATGATTTGTCTTCTCCCACCCGTTTCCCTGATGAGTCCAAAGAGTTGCCTGGTGTTGCCTATCCTCGAAGCTTTCTCCATCTCTTTGGCTTTTGTCGCCCACCACTGTTCACGGTCCTTGCGGAGACTTTTCGTAAGTTTCCTCTTGTGCAGCTTTCGCTCCTCATTGAATTCGGAGCTCGCCGGAATAAGTCTTCTAGCATCTATCAGTTCGGATGAGGCGGTGGAGATCCAGTGGTTTTTACTCACCTTTGGGTTTACCTTATTCACAGCTTTTACAGCTGTATCTATGGCTGCCTGGATATTTTTCCAAGCTTCTTCAGGGTGAGCACAGCTGTCGAACACAGATATGTGTTTAGCTAGTTCTTCCTCAAATACGGATTTAGTTTCCTGATCGAGCTGGGGACGTGATGGTTTTACCGCCAGCTGTTTCCTACGTCCGTTCAGTCGTAAGCACACCCGAGCGCGGACCAGTGCATGGTCGGTATCTACGCACGTGTTCCAGAAGGAGCGACAATCTCCTACCGACCCACGCCAACGATAGCTTATTGCTATGTGGTCTATTTGTGTCCAGCGTTGGTTTGATGAAGGGGGTCTCCAAGTCAAACAGTGTCTCTCCTTGTGTTTGAAGTTAGTGCTTACAAGAAACAAATGATTATCAGAGCAGAACTGTAGGAGACGGTCACCGTTGTCGGTTCGCTGGCACGGAACTCCATAGGTGCCACCGACATCCTTCTCAGATTGACACAATTTCCCTACTTGAGCGTTAAAGTCACCAGCTAGAACGACTATGTCTGAGCGTTTAGCCTTTCCACCAAACTAGACAGCTTTTGGTAGAACTCATCCTTCGTTTCATCTGAACTGCAGTCAGTGGGGGCGTAGGCGGAGATTACGAAAAGGCATCGGCGAGTAGTGCAGTCCTTCCTCCTTCTTACTGATCCGTTCAGGCGGACAGCACACATTCGGCTATCTACCGGGATCCAGTCAAGCAATGTCTTTTCTGCCCTAGTACTCAAAGCTATCCCTACGCCAGCTAATCCTCGTGAACTAGCTGTGGCATCTCCTGACACCCTCAAGGTGAATTTTGCAGATTCAACCTGTTGGCCAGGTGGGGTTAGGTGAATAACCACACTTGGGTCTTGTATGCGTGTTTCTGAAACACAGCATACATCAATGGCTCGTGATGCCAGGGTCTTGGCTAGTGATGCTTGTTGTCCTATTTGGCAAAGTGTCCTAACATTAAGAGCTCCTATATGAAATTGGTGGCGCGGCTTTAAGAGGCTGTCGGTGGTGGTTTTTTGGCTTCCATCGTTTTTAGTGGACGCAGAGTGGAGAGGAAGTGGAGAGCTATCAAGTCGAGGAGTTGCATCAGTGGAAGGAAGGCAAGATGATAGAGATGAAGATGAAAACAAAGATGAGTGAGTAATAGAGAGGTTTCGCGTGCGTTTCGGACATCTGAATTGGGAAATGAACAAGGAGAATTAGCCATGATGTTAGATTGTAAAATAAAACGAATAGAAGGTAAACTGCACACTAGCGTTTATAAGAAAACGCATCCTAATCAATACTTAATAATAAATAGAAGAAGCGTTGGTTTCAAATAACTATCCTATAAAATTCACTAGGAAGATCAGAAAAGGTCAGAAGCAAAATAAAAATAATAGTGAAACTAATAATTATAACATAAATAAGAAAGAATATAAAGCATCTACTATAATACCATATAAGGAGGGACATCTTAGATCCTACGTAGGATTCCTAATAAAGCAGAAATTAGAGTGATAGCATTTAAACATACAAACTCACTCAGGTAGGACAAGCTCAGTAGGGTAAAGGACTTAGCTGACTCAATTAGACAAAATAATATAATTTACAAAATACCCTGCAATAACTGTGAGTTAAGTCAACTACATAGGTCAAACTAAGTAGGTCAGGGTAGTCAGGTTGTCGGAATATAAGAATTTAGCTAAGGTAAGAATGGTTGACCCCGAGAAGATAAGTAATTTAGAAAAAAACTCAGCGATTGCACTGCATGCATTAACACACAACTACACAATAGGGTGGGAGAGGGTTAAAACTCTAAAAAGTAATATAGGTAGGTGGAGAGAGACGTTGATTACTGAATCCATTTTCATCCAGTCTACACCCGACGCGTGCAATAGGAATGATTCATCACTCATACCTGAAATATGGAAAATACTATTACCAATCAAGTCAATTGTCGCCAGCCATTGGTTTTTACCGTTCTGAGGACCCTAACCAATCAGTCAGACAGTCTACACCTTCCTACGTGGCTGGCGTAAACTAACTGTTGTAGATATCATTGACTGGTGTTATGTTTTGGTTTGACCGCCGCTAGCTCTTTTCCAGCCTGACCTTATGTCTGCTACCATTTCCCGTCGAGGAAGGCGATGACTAGGCATCCGTAACACATGTCCTAACCTTCTCAGTCGATGTAACTTCACAGCCTTATCAGTTGATTTCCCCTCCTTACCTAGAACTCGACGCCTAACCTCAATATTTCTCAGCTTATTATGCCACTTCACATGGGAGATAGAGCGCAGGCATCTATGATCAAAGATAGCTAATCTTTTCATGTCTTCCACTCTCAATGGCCAGGTTTCGCTCACAGCCATAAAGGAGGACGGAGCGGACTGATGAGCAGTACACCCGCCCTTTGGTCGATAGTCGGATATCACGTCTACGCCAGAGACGGCGTAAACCGGCATAAGTCAAACTAGTCCTCTGTATCCTTCCTATTTCTAAACTAGGAGTCAGTGTAGTCCAGTCCTGTAGAATCATCCTACATTTGACGGGAGCGAATCGCATGCCAAGCATTCGTAGATTGCAATTCAGTTGACTCTGACTCATGTCGTTTGAAATTTTCCAGCGTGGATGCCAGTAATCTTGTCAACCTCAATCAGAGCTGTGATCAACCGCTTATTGGATTGATAGTGCATCCTTATCTCATTATCCTGCGTATTTCTAACCTTATTTTCTTTCCTCTAACATAGGACAATGGGGTATAAGTTAATCCATTTTCTCGACTGATTCATTTATTGTAACTAGGGATCTACGAGTAACCTGTACATCCAGCTGAAGATTATTAGAGTGTTTTCAGTAATTTTCTATGAATTAGTCTCAGAAACAATCATTATTATTTTGTGAATAAAGCTAGAATAACAGTTTGCACGGAATAAGATGGTACTATCATTTATTTCATTGGCTTCTATTCATCTGCATAAAGCCGGGAGAAGTTGTTAAGTTTATGTACAGAACAATTTTTAACATGGAAAGTGTTACATGATATCAGTTAACAGGAAACTCCAAAATTAATAAAAAAATGCTCAGAAATTGCACTTATGTAGCCTATACCCAGGAAGTTCAAGCTTAATCAATAATAAATGCTTGCATAAAATGACAAATGACTTACGTAATAGGGATAAGAGTTAAATAAACTGATGAGTGATTAATAAATTGAGTAACGGTGTGGTCAGAACAACTTGCATCTTAGAAACAAGAGACAAGAAAGTTACACTATATCAAAGAAGGGATAGGTTAAAGCCAAAGATTGCGTAATAGAGTAAATACATCCATTTACCAGGGCAAGGAGAGACTAATGACTTCTTTCTTAACCCATAAATCGGATTTTAAGCATTTGATAATGACTGTTTCTGCAAACTTGGGGAGAATTGAAACATTATGTCTACTGGTAATTTTAAAGGATCTGGTGATGTTCACCTCGTCACCCGTATTGTAAGTGTTTGTTCTCTTGAAACGTAGCCTTTTTTGGTACATATTCAGAAAACTCGAGGTATGCCCTTTGTTCCGTCCTTTCAATGTAACTGCTACCGCAGATACATGTAAATTTGTATCCACAATTAGAGTCAACACGAGAAAGGTGTCTGTCGACTTCTGATTGCACCGAAGAGCATGTTGTCCGATAAATGGGAACCAACTCGGATGCAGGATAGGTTCTAGGTAGGTAGATGATATCCAACCTTCTATTAACTATTCTTATGATATTATCATCTTTAAAATTGTATGAAATGAAAATTGGCTTCTTTTCCAGTGTGATTTGTTTGACGATCGAGCCTTCAAGTCTTCCGTACTTGTTGATGAATCTCTGAGAGCAAGTGTTTTCTCTCAACATCTTTTCAAGAATCAGAAGTTCTCCCTCTAATTTGTCTATAAAGCCTATTCTCCTGATTCTATGTAGTATAGTTGTAACCAATGCTCATTTATAGCTATTTGAACAGAAACTGCTAA